AAACAAAATTACTGAAAAATGCAACAAATCAAATATAGAAATACTTTCATTGAAAGAAGAAATTAGCCAGTTGAAAAATAATTCTCAAGTGGAAATTCAGGAAAGTAAAGATTTTAAGAACTGTTCATTATCCTTTACCTGGGTTTACTACCTTAAGAGACTGGGCTAAATGTTTAAATTTAGAACAAGAAATATACATTATAAAGTGTTAAGCAAGATAAAGAAGTAAACATTATGTATAAACCATTTTTAAACATAAATAAATCAATTTAAAATAACACCTCTGTGCTTTTTATTAAAATAAAGTATGTTTTGCAAAGTGTTTCTATTTATTAAATACATAAAGGGGTTTACCAGCACCCAACCATACAAGAAAGTAATTGATCTGTGCATACAAGTTATTGATGGCCATGTTTGATGACTAATTTAAAATTAAATTATTACATTTATAATCTATAAAAGTGACTACATACTTTCAAACTGATTATTTAAGAAAATTGGCGACTAAAAAAATATACTGATCATAATTCATTTCACCTTAATTTTATTGTTCAGCATTCGTTAACATTATACACAAGTTTATTTGAATCGATTCAAAATTATTTATTGTTGAAGAATTAATTACATTCTTATTAACAAAGATAGATAACATAAGTTAAAATTCAAAGGAAAAGAAACAAACAAAATATTCATAAATGAAATTTTTTATTTTAAAATTTTTTAAATTCTAATATCAAGACAAAATATAATATAAAAACAAAAATGCACAACCTAAGTACAAATATGACAATCGAGAAATATATATACAGGAGTATACACAAATTAAAATGAACTACTTAATTCAAGGAATCAGAAAAATTTATCCACTTTGTAGTATACCTTTTTGAGCAAGAGTTTCTTGCTTTTTAAACATATTTAATGAGTCAGCACTTCCTATTATTAATTAATTGGCAAGAGGTTAAACATTTTTCCACTATACACGGGACACTACATATTTCAGTTTCACATTTAAATTAGTTATTTGTGTATGCCTTTTATTAGTTCCAGTTTTTATCCGTACTAAGCCACTAAAACTTTTTAATGGTAATGTCTCTGTAAGTTTAGGTACGTTTTGGCTATCATCTTGATCTCAATCTATCAGATAGCAATGCTAGGTATGAAGATTTAAATCCTAGATGTAATCCTCTTCCAAGTTTTGTGATGGAAAAATTCAGTTTCAGATGAACACTGTCTTTTTTACGCCAAAGAGAAACTATATTAGGCTAAATTCCTTACACCATGGCTAAATTCGAAATAAATTACCTACTTTTTTGTATAAAAGCACAAAATATTTTTTTTATTTGGCATTACTTTTGCACAAGCGTCTATCTGCCTATAGTGACTTTTCTTGTATTATTGAGCATAACTTGATGTTATTTGACGCAGTTGTTATTTTCTTCTAAATATATTTTCAGTTTTATAATGATTATAGAACTAGGAAATAAAAATTAAACTTCTTGACAATCATTACAAAATGTAAACAAAGCCATGGAATGGCATGGCAGTGTATAGGCGGCCGTGGCAATACCGATGTTGACGTCATAAAACCTGCGCACCGCTTCACCTGTATCCTTACACCATGAGTAATAATTATTGTGTATTGTTGTTCTGTTCGTAATTTATTACTTTAATCATTCACTTATTATTAAAATGGCATACACAAATGAGGAAATGGCTGATATGCATTACGTTTACGGTCTGTCGCAGGGGAATGGGTTAGAAGCTTCTAGAAGATATGCTGAAATGTATCCTCAGCGGCAGCATCCTTCACAAAGAATATTTACCCGACTTCATCAACGATTACGAGAATATGGTTCATTCAACAAAAGAACGCACGATTGTGGTCGCCATCGAGGAGTAAGAACACCACAGCCTGAGGAAGCACTACTTAATTTTATTGAAGAACAACCTACTACCAGTACTAGAAAGATTGCTTTCCAGCTAAATGTTGATCATATGACGGTATTTCGAATTTTATACCCTTACCATCTTCAACGAGTACTGGCACTGTTACCGCGAGACTTTCCGAACCGTCTTGAATTTTTCAATTGGATCCTGGAAATGATTAGAAGAAATCGTGACTTTCTGAAGACGATTAAATTCACAGACGAATGTAGTTTTACTCGGGACAAGATTATTAATTTTCATAATTACCACATATGGGCTGATGAAAACCCTCACGCTATTGTCGAAACTCACCATCAAGAACACTTTTCTCTTAACGTGTGGGCCGGAGTTATTGGTGATTATTTAATTGGGCCTCATTTTCTACCTCCTCGATTAAATGTTGAGGCATACGTTCAATTTTTACTGCTGAAGGAAGTTCCTTTGGGCGTCAAAAGGGATATGTTTTTTATGCATGATGGGGCTCCCGCCCATTTTAGTCAAGTAGCACGTCAGCATTTAACTGAAACATATGCAAATCAGTGGATAGGTCGAGGGAGGACCACAGAATTGGGGCCATTTGCAGCATTTGGTATATCGTACTCCTGTTCGCGATGTAGAGGAGACTTAAGAAACCGCATCATCGATGCGTGCAGGGTAATTAGAGAGACTCCAGGATTATTTGAGCGAATACGTGGCTCAATGCGCCGACGTCTAGACGCATGCGTAATGTCTGAAGGTAGACATATTGAACATTTACTATGATTTCTACATGTTGTATGTTTTGTTATTAACTTAGATTAAAGAGACTGAAAATGTAACATTGCACACTGCGCATGTTGTCTATTTTAAGCCAAAGTAACCCACCAATTGAAAATCATTGTTGCACGACGCCACCCGAATTGCTCCGATTTCCATTCAGCGATCACCTCCACCTGAGTTTAATCACCATTGACAGCTGTTTTTTGATTTATTTGTTGGTATTTTAGCAATTTAAAGTGTTCTAGTTATTCAATTTCAAGTTCAAAATGTCACGATTAGTGATGAGAAAAAGCGTTATTTTTATTTAACAGTTACAACTGTTACTGTTATTTTTAAATAACAGCTTAAAATAACAGGTTGTCGTTATTTTTAACATCTAGTGGTCCATGCGTAGCGTATACTCGTTGTAAACGATATTTCAGTAATAGCATTGTTTTGGTTCACGTTCGTAACTGTTCCAGAACCTTTAAAGCATGCGCATTCGCTGTTTTGGTTTCACTATGACTATTTCCGAACCTGTAACTTATGTTATTTTTCTTGGGATTGGTTGCATAACCATTCCAGAACAGTAAATTCGAATCTGACCGAAAACGAGAATTTTTTGCACTTGTGCTTAGAATTTTTACAAGGAATTTTTGAATGACTAATGAGAATGGAGTAGTTGATTAGTTGATGTGTTATAAGTTTTTTTTTTATGTATACATTAGGTATTTAATTTATCTACGTTTTACAAATATTACATGGTCTTTTTCTTACTTAAACACTGGCCCGAGTTATTTCTTCATTTTTATTTATAATTTACTCTTTGATATCTAACTGTTCAGGCCACTGAACGCGGCATATATATTAAACTGGAAGAACAAAGCCATCAACAAAATCAAGCCAAATAGCGAGGTAATATTTGACACTCTGGCACTCGCACGTGCGTATCAAAATGCACTAAAAAGGAACATTAAAATTAAATTTAATACTTATTACATTCAACTACGACTCCTTTTAATTTAAGAAAAACACTTAAAAATGATTTTTGATTAATACGCAGCTGAAACAAATGTTCCAATAATAATAATTATTAAAACAGCACGTTATTAATAAAAAAATATATAACTTATCATCGTCGTACGCCCATTGGAAACGTGACGTATAATGCTCGAAATCAACAGTCTGGCGTCCAAATAGTCATGCGCACCGACCGTTTTTTTCACCCAGCAACTTCAAACTTCAGCAGTTTCGGAATAGAGTCAGACGGACGGTACGGCACGGAATTTGTTTTATATAGTTTGAAAAGGGCAGTGCAACCGTCGTGGGCGGGCAAAAGGACATTATTGTGTAATCATTTTTTTAATTGTAAAGAGTAAAGGTAAGTTATAATTATTATCTTAAGTTTTTTGCTTTACTTATAATAAACAATTTTTGTAGCATTAAATATAAATGCAATGGCTACTTATCTAAAAGGAAAAAAGTCAGTTCTTTGGAATTTCTTTACTCCTCAAAATGAAATTAAAGCAACTTGTAATTTATGTAAACAAAGTTTGTCGTACAAATCGTCAATTAGTAACCTAAAACAGCATATTCAGAGAAAACATCCGTTAGTCAAATTAGTAGAAGAAAGCTCCGAGAGAAGTACCTCAGGAACAATAGTTATCCCATCTACTTTGACTGATTCCACACCATCCATACTGCAACCGCCAGAAAATCTAGCTGATACTGCGTCATCAATATATGAACAACATCAAAGAAACCTTTCTCCAGATACAGGCCATTCAACACAAAGCAAAGTCATGCGCAAACTATACCAGACACATCTAAGGGTACCAAAAAAAATTGGGTTTTCACAAAAAAAAGTTATTGATGACAAACTTTTAAAATTAATCACGGTGGATTTACAACCATTTTCTATAGTTGAAGATGAAGCTTTTAAAGAATACACATATGCTCTGAATTCGTCGTATAGTTTACCAAGTCGTAAAACATTATCAAACACTTTATTGCCAGCAAAATATGAGGAACTCCACATCAAAGTCACGGAAGTTTTAAAAAGTGCAAAATCAGTTTCAATAACTACTGACGGCTGGACCTCTATAAATAATGACTCGTTTATCGCAGTGACTGCACATTTTATAGATGACAATTTTCAAATAAAATCAGTTTTATTGGAGGTCGGTGTATGTAAGTTCAACCACACTAGTAGGCATTTAGCAGATGACCTTAACAGAGTAGTATCTGAGTGGGGCTTAGAAAATAAAATTTTTTTAGCGTTGTCTGACAACGCGGCCAATATTAAAAAAGCCATAATTGACGAGCTGAAGTGGAAACATCTACCCTGTATAGCCCACACAATAAATTTAATTGTTAAAGATGCCTTGACAGTGGTTGAAAATCTTGTAAGCAAGATATCAGATATTGTGTCTCATTTTAAACGCAGTACGGTGGCAAAAAATAAATTGGACTTCTATCAGAAGCAGAATGGCAAGGAACCAAAAAAATTGGTTCAGTCAGTTGCTACAAGATGGAACTCCGTATTTTACATGTTTCGAAGAATAACGGAACTAAAGGAAGAAGTACGAGCATCCCTGGCTGCACTCGGAAAGGAAGACTGGCCGATGCTTTCCAATCAAGAGTTTGATTATGTGACTGAAATAATTGAGATACTTGCACCAATGGAGTCAACAACAGTTATCATGAGTGCTGAAAATTATGTAGCTCTTTCGTCAGTCATAATAATCACGAATGGCTTACGGGATTTGTACAAAGATATATCAAAAAAAAGTTTTTCTCCTTTATCTGAAAGTGTTCTCCAGCAAATTATAAATGGCATAGATACTCGTTTTAAAAATTTAGAATCAAGTTCTACGCTTTTATTAAGTACATTCTTAGATCCTCGTTTCAAGCATGTTGGATTTTCAGCAGAATCCTTCGTAGAAAAGGCCAAAAATTTAGCTACTAATGCTTTAACACCAATAGTTGAACAAAAAACCAAAGATAACGATACCTCATTAAGTGTAAGTGTGCCGCAACCACAAAATACAGAAAGTAAAAACGTGTCAATATGGAGCACATTTGACGCAAAGGCGTCTAATTTTACTCCATCTGGAACAAAAAGATCTCGCGCTATTCTCGAAATCCAAAGGTATTTAGAAGAACCTCTTTTAAACCGGTCAAAAAATCCGGTACAGTGGTGGAAAGAACATTCTTATAATTTCCCGCACCTTAGCGAACTTGTTAAATTAAAATTTGGTACAGTAGCTACTTCTGTACCTTGTGAAAGGACATTTTCAAAAAGTGGGCAGTTAATTTCCGATCGTCGAAACAGATTATCATCGTCTAAAGTTAAACAAATTATGTTTGTAAGCTGCAATCAAAATATTTGAAACAATTTACTATGTTCCTAATTCTAAACTGATCCAAAGATATTTTTAATTTTTTTTATAGTTTTTTATAAGAAGTTTATTTTTGTTTTTATTTTAACGAATTTTTGTTATGTATTGAAATTTTAATTTAGTATTTACAATTAAAAATACATACAATACGATATCGTTTTATTTAACAGTTGTTAAATAATCCTCTCTACGCCGCTGTTGAACTAGGAAACTACGTAAATAGTGAACGCCATGTACCTTCTTAAAATAAAATAACAATAAACAATACCCATGCCCCAGACTCAGATTACCTATTCGACCATCCCTCGACGCATGCGACACGACAACGGTAGAAAATAATAAATAAAATTAGTAGCGTTATTAAAATAACTATTAACGCATGTTAGTTAATTGCAAATGCGGCGGCGCGAACGACGGCAACACGTTCTTTCGCGAGGAAGCAGTTGCCAACCGTTTTGTGTTGTCGCGTTATTTTGCACCTGTTATTTTTGAACTAGATTAACAGTTGTAACCGTTATGTTCCATATAACAGCTTAAAAATAACAGATAGTTAAATAACAACACATCACTAGTCACGATGTATCTTGAAAAATTGTATGTACTTATAATACAAGTACTACTGTTATGAATATATTCGTTTTCAGCGGTAAATATTTATTAACGTTTTGACATAAAGCGCCATGATTCTCTGGGCTGAATACTTCAGATCCGCATTAAGGGGTTTCAATAAATATTAAGCATCAGAAATCAGATTTTATATTACTTACATAAATTTACAAAAGGGTAAAATTTTGAACATTTAATTTAAATAAATAGTAAATAGGCATTATTGCTAACGAAATTTTGTATTTAAAAAGTAGTTTTATAAGAATGTTTTCTAAAGGTAGTTTTTAGCCCTTTTTGGTAAATAAATAAGAGGTAAAGAATTATAGTTGCTAGCTAAATTTTATTTTTATAAGGTACTTTTATAAGGTATTTTTATAAGAATATTTGATGAAATACAGGATGACCTACTTAAAATTTCAAGGTTCATCTTATTTGCGGTCAAATCGAAAGTGACATTGAATTTTCAGTCTTAAAACAAAGTAATCTAGTATAACCCCAAAAAAAAATACTAAAGTTACAGGAGTTAGGTCCGATTCCACCGTTGTGTTAAACGGAGATTAAAATGACAGTGTTAATGTAAAAATGTAATTTAAAACTTCGTTTAACACAACGGTGGAATCGACCCTTAGTCACGTTAATAAAATGTTACATTACAAACCCCTAAACAACTCGAACATAATTTTCGTTTACTAAAAAAAATTCAAAATTTAGCAATATTTATTTATTATACAATCGAATGCGATTTCAAAGATAACTGGATCAAAAAATCCGAATCTCTAAATTTTGGAGCTAAATGCTCAGATAAAAGCAAGCGACCGATAGGGGTTACAAAAATAATCGATTTATCGATAATTCTGATATTTTTTAATGAAAATCGATTTATCCGCTGTTTTTAATAAATTATTTTCGTTTTTTTTTTTAAGATAATGTATTAATCGATTTTAAAGGAAATACAAAAAAAGTAGATTTATTCAAAATAATCGATTTATCGTTTAATCGGTTTTTTAATTATTTGATTATTTTCGATTTTTCGAAGATATTATATGAAAATAATCGATTGAATATAATCGGTTATTTTACATAATCGATATTTTTGTTACTTTTTTAAAATTATCGATTTATTGGATAATCAGCTTTTTAATAATCAATTATTTTCGATAATCGAATAATCAATTTCAAAGGAAATATGAAAAAATGGTTATTAGAAAATAATAGATAATTCGTTTTATTTTTTGGAAAATCGATTTATCATAGAATCGGCTTCTTAATTAATTGGTTATTTTCGATTAGGCGATTATTTTGGAATTATTGATTATTTTTGGTATTTCAAAGATAATCGAATTATCGATTTTAAAGGAAATACAATAAAAATAGATTATTGATGATAATCGATTGATCGAAAATAATCGATTATTTAAAATAATCGATCATTCTGTTTTTTTTTGAAAATCGATTTGTCAGTTAATCGACTTTTTAATTAATCGATTATTTTTGAAATACAATAAAATAGATTATTGGTAATAATCGATTTATCATAGAATCGGCTTCTTAATTAATTATTTTCGATTAGGCGATTATTTTGGAATTATCGATTATTTTCGGTATTTCAAAGATAATCGAATTAACGATTTTAAAGGAAATACAATAAAAATAGATTATTGATAATAATCGATTGATCGAAAATAATCAATTATTTAAAATAATCAATCATTCTGTTTTTTTTTAAATCGATTTATCAGTTAATAGACTTTTTAATTAATCGATTATTTTAGATTTTTCAAAGATTATCGAATAATCTGTTTCCATAGACGAAAAAAAATGGTTTATTTGAAAATAATCGATTATTTAAAATAAACGATAATTCTATTTATATTATATTTTGTAAACACTGATTTATCGGTTAATTGGCTTTTTAATTAATCGATTATTTTTGATTTTTCAAAGAGAATCAAGTAGTCGATTTTAAAGGAACAAAAAATATATTGTTTGAAAATAATCGATTATTTTCAATGATCGATAATTTATTTCGATAATCACTCATCCCTAGCGACCAAATGACTTTTAATAGATTTAAATTTTAAAATTTTATCTGTTTTCAGACATATGCATTTCTAGAGTTTTATGTGACTCATCCTTTATAATAATTAATATTCCTAAAGAAAGAAGCCTTAACATACCTTTTTCTGAGGTTATAATTCAAAACAGCATTTTCTCATTTTGACTAATTTTTATTATTATGTAATAGCCGTAAGTGTCTTTTTGGTAGTAGAAAATGACAAGTTAATTTCAATATTGTAACTTGTTTAGTGCTTGTGAAAAAAATTGTTAAACAAATTTTATGTACCCCCTTTAAGGGGCTGTATCTTAACAAGGGATGCTCCAATGAAGTTTCTTTATATAAAAGATCCTATCTTTTTTTCGATGAGGAATCACTCCCTTAAATGTTTTACACTTATCTAGTTACACCCTGTATAATGATTATCCAGAATATTCGTGGATTCAATCGTCTCACGGAGCTTTTCATAGTTAACAGTACCAGTTTTTGGGTACATAAATATTTTCAAATATCATCAAAGACAATAATAATTTTTATTTATACTATTAATATATCCATACTTGGAGTGAGTTCACCCAAGGACGAATTATCAGATAAATAAATCTGAGAAGACACGAAGCTGTCATTTATTGTAACTAAAACACCATCACTCACATTACAATCCATTAGATAGTATTTTCTGTCAGATTTATATACATTATATAAATTTCCGAACAATTCCTGATTAGTTATTGATGATTCGAACCAAGTTTCCATCAAGGCGACAACCGAAAATAAATATTAAAAGATCTATTAAAACTATAATACCGTATTGACTCTTTAATTGTCTAAAAAATATATAAATATCCTAACGCTATTTATAGTTCGGTCTAATATCCCTTGAATTTTCCCAAAGAGATTTCAGTTGAAATATGTGGAGTTGTTTATCTCCCAACTATACGGTTGTTGATTCCTCCATTGTTTGTGATTACGAACCACAAAATCCACATGAACTGGTTTAAAACTATTGTAATTTAAGGGAGTTGACAGTCTATTTAAAGATTAGACTGCCATGTTGCTCAAGCTTGCGTTTTACCCTAAAAGTTTCTATTATTAATGAATTATTCTGGTATTGTGTATCAGTGATGGAGATGGGTATCGTTTAATTAGGGACTATATATATTATTTGTCAAAGCATCTGAATTTGGATGCTTAATGTTTTTGTTGTTTTAATAATTTATACAATATTTACTACTTGTTAATACTTTATTGTACAAGTAATTCTTTATTAGGTATTACACCTTACATCATGTGTTTTATATTAACCTTACTTACTAAAGAAAACAAATTGACATTCTATGTCATTATAATCAATGATGTATGGATCACTGGATTACCTATTTAACAACAGTTTTTGTCTATAGGAATTTGCCTGGAATTTCAAAGTTACATTTAGGTATTTATACGTAGGGTTGTCAAGATTTCTCAATTACTCGTTTGGATTGCTTCTAAAAATTGACATGTCCACTATATTTTATTTCTTTTCTTTTTATGGAAAGCTAGCATATTTAAAAATATTATAAAGCCGATCCTGTTAAAAGCAATTTCAGTGCTGTGGGGCAATAGGCCTTTGAGTGAATATTGAGTCAAGCCAACGATTTCAATAAAAACTGGTAATGACAAAAAGAATGAAATTGAATTTGTTGTTTGCTGCTGTTGGGCCGAAATATAACATGAATGGATTTTATTGAAAAAAAAAAATAAAAAAAAAATTGATACTTGTTAATGAAGAGAAGCAAAAGCGGACCTAAATATTAAAAAAATACAGTAGGTAAAAATAGAAGTAAAATTGTAATAACAAAACTAACAAAATATATTTAAAACAGGAAAAGGCCACGGGAATAGTTTACGAACCGTGATCGTAGCTTTCAATACTTTCTAGTTCAAGTAACATGACTTTTGAAAAACAGATTAAGGTATATTGCCGTGTTAGCAAATGTCTCGTGTGATGCAAGATGAAATTTTCACAATTGGACATTCCAAGCAAAATGGCTGTCCGTAGGTAACGACCTCCGAGCAATTACTAATAGAGGGAGTCTTCCCCCTTCCCCGCGCTAAATTTTGTTAGCAACATCTACTCCTCCGAGGGGGAAAATATCTCTTCTGTAATTGGCTTATTTAATCAGCGTTGCCAAGTTTGACAGCGCCAGTTCTGACACTTTCTGACACATGTCAATTTCTTATTTGTATTTTACGGAAAATATTATTATTTATAAGGTTGTAAGGGTTGTAAATGTATATTTAAGATTTATTATCTGTAATAATA